ACCACAAGCACTAGGTGAAATCACCATTAAACTACATCTAACCTATCAGCAAGCAAGACCCAACAATAATATCAACACATATTTGCTAGAATGGGGTTTTTAGCCACACATCAAGATATAACAAAATACACCTAAAATGATAGTAAAATCAAATGGGTATAAGAAATTAAACCTTGAATTAAGCAAAGGAAGAAGAATGGAGAAGACCCACTTCCAACTTGGGGAAGATGAAATCCTTCTTTCTTCAAGTCTCCCAAAAACCCTCTCCAAACTTGAGAGAAAATATCCAAAAAGTACTATTCTATTCTAGAAATTAAAATACATGTTCGACTCTCTTAAAATTATAACAAGTTCAGTATTTATAGACTTCAAAAAATAGCGCTGGCGGATCTTTCGGTAAAGTTAGTCGATATCACCGAATGACTTCGGTGACTCACCCTTCGTCTGTCTCATCGCCGTTTCGTGCTTGCCTTCAGCATCTTCACGTTCTGGACTATTGGGTGGTATAGTACTGCTATGCGCAACTATTCGGCGAAGCACCGACTGCTCCTTTCATCGCCTTTTTTATCCTTCTCTTTCAAGGCTTCGCGTACTGGAACAAAGGGCGGAGTAAATCCCTTCGGCGAATCGCCAAGTGTGCTTGGCGATGCTCGGGCTTCAGCTTCTTCGTTCTTTTCAGCCTTTTTGTTCCTTTTTGTGCCTAAGTGTTCATGCTTTCACTAAAACTTCAAATACCTGAAACTTAAGAGTTTTCATCAGATATTTAGACAAAATAAGCATTCGAGGACACTATTCTTGTCAAAATAAAGCCCTAAATAAGTCCAATTTGTAAGTTGAATATTCTTCACGAATTTGAGTGGAAAAGATGAGTTCTTGAACCCTAGACCTTGACTTCTTCTTCTTCTTAAATGGAGGTTTTACATATATGATTTTGGAGAGGTTTGATTTTGATTTGAGTAGTTTAGATTCTTATGAAGTGTTTATAGTTAGTTAATTACTTAAAAGTCTTATATATGTCTATTAAAAGCTATTTAAACCGATCATATAATTAATTAAGTAAATTAGGAATTTACTTAATAACACTTGCATTGGCCGAAACTAGGCAGTCTACAGGTGAGACCCACGACTTGGTAATCCACGAGCCCGTGCTGGTGGACCATTGGTAAAGGGACTACAACCTATTTTGATGGGCTTGACCCAGTACCCCCACCTATGGGGCGTAGGTAGCCCTCGTGGTTCACTGCCCAGGCAGCCTTCTAGGCCTTTTCCTCAAGGGCCTATGGTTGGTCCTCGGGGTTTAGGCCATGGCATTTTGAATCCAAAACATGAATTTTTAAGGTACATGGAGGTATTTTCTAGACCTTAACCCTAACGTCAAACTTTAGCTAAGTCTATTAGTTTTGTTTTAGACTCTTGTTTAGTTTAAAATTTTCCGTAATGTTACAATATCTCCCCCTTGGGAACATTCGTCCTCGAATGATGATCTAGACACTCTACGGATATTTAGACTCAAGACTAGCTGCCCATCATGCATGAAACATCAAAATATGCAATTTTTATAAATGCACTATTCATAACATGCACTATTCAAAGAAGGCAACTTCAACTCCTTCTCAAACCTGATCAATGCATAATAAGGGACTAGGAACTACATCTAACACCCAATATGCACCAAGTTCAAAAATGATCATTTTTCATAGGAGGAACTCACTTCTCCAACTAAAATAATGTTCAACACAACATTATGGAGCCAATATGTAATCACTCTCAAAAGCATACTAAAACATGTTTATCAACTCATCTCGTGAAGTCAAATTAGGCAATTCATACAAAATGCACAACACCATGAGGATCATAAATCATGAGAACTCATTTTCTCATTAAGCATGAATTCATCAAGAACATGCATAAACTAAGGAAACCATGAAAAACATACAACTTACACATGACTTCCAAAACAAGGAAATTCTGGAGGAACTATTTACCTCAAGCTTGAGTAGGAGTAGAAAGAAAGAGATGAGGGTATCGGGCCTTCATATCGGCTTCGGCCTCCCAAGTAGCGCCCTCAACTAGGTGATTTCTCCATAAAACCTTAATGGAAGCTACTTCCTTTTTTCTCAACTTCTTGACTTGCCGGTCAAGAATCTCTACCGGAACCTTTTCATAAGAAAGGCTTTCATCAACACCCAACCCTTCTAAAGGAATAATTGATATCGGGTCCCCAATACACTTTTTAAGCATAGAAACATGAAACACCGGGTGAACCGGAGCCAACTCAGTTGGCAAGTCAAATTCATAGGCAACTTACCCAATACGCTACAAAATTTGATATGGGCCTACATACCGGGGGTTAAGTTTCCCTTTTTTGCCAAACCTCATCACGCCCTTCATGGGTGAGATTTTCAAATAGACCCAATCACCTACTTCAAATTCTAGGTCCCTTCTCCTCACATCGAAATAAGATTTTTGCCTACTTTGAGCTGTTCTGAACCTTTCCCAAATGAGCCGAACTTTCTCAACAGCTTCATAAACCGACTCGGGACCAATAAGTGCAACATCACCTACCTCAAACCAACCAACCGGAGACCTACATATTCTTCCATACAAGGCTTCAAAAGGAGCCATACCGATACTTGAGTGGTGACTATTATTGTAGGCAAACTCCATTAATGGCAAGTGGTCATCCCAATTACCCTTGAAATCTATAACACACGCGCTCAACATATCCTCTAAAGTTTGAATGGTGTGCTCTACTTGACCATCCATTTGAGGGTGAAAGGCTGTGCTAAGTTTCACCTTAGTACCAAGTCCCTTTCGGAATGACTTCCAAAAATATGAAGTAAATTGAGTACCCCGATTCGAAATGATGGACAAAGGAACTCCATGTAACCTCACTATCTCCCTTATATACAAATTAGCATAGTCTTTCGCTGAAAGGAAATCGTGACGGGAATGAAATGGGTTGATTTTGTCATCCTATCAACAATGACCCAAATAGAATCATGTTGCCTTCAAGTACGAGGCAAACCCACAACAAAATCCATATTCACCTCTTCCCACTTGGAAGTGGGAATTGGTATATCTTGCAACAAACCTCTCGGCCTTTGGTGCTCAACCTTAACTTGTTGACAATTCGGACATTTGGCTACAAATCCCGCAATATCCTTTTTCATACCATTCCACCAATAGACTTTCTATAGATCACGGTACATCTTTGTGGCTCCCGGATGAATGGAATATCTAGAACCATGAGCCTCTTCTAAAATTTTCTCCCTCAACCTATCCACATCCGGAACACACAAACGACCTTGGTACCTAAGTACCCCATCTCCCCCTTGGGAGAAAGCCTCAACGGACTTGTTCAATACCGATTCTTTCAACTCCATCAATAAAGAATCAAGGTCTTGTTTAGACTTGACATCTACCACAAAGGACGATTCAGAGACTCTATGAATCGTGAAACCACCCTTAGGAGAATCTACTAGTTGGACACCTAGCCGGGCCAACCCATGCACATCACGAACTAACTCTTTATTTTCATCCTCTATGTGAGTCACACTACCCATGGATAATCGACTAAGACCATCCGCCACCACATTAGCTTTGCTGGGGTGATAGAGGACACTCATGTCATAATCCTTCAAAAGTTCTAACCACCTTCTTTGTCGGAAATTCAAATCTTTTTGGCTAAACACATAATGAAAACTTTTGTGATCGATGAAGACATCTACATGGACCTCATACAAGTAATGCCTCCATATTATCAAAGCAAACACAACCGCCGCTAATTCAAGATCATGAGTCGGATAAGTATTCTCATGTACCTTGAGTTACCTGGAAGCATAGGCAATCATTTTACCTTGTTGCATGAATACATATCCCAACCCCACTCTAGAGGCGTCACAATAAAAAACAAAGCCATCCATATCCTCAGTAAGGTCAACACCGAAGCGAAAGTAAGCCTATTTTTCAACTCTTTGAAGCTTTTCTCACATGCCTCTGACCACTCAAACTTAGCTTTCTTTTGAGTCAAACCCGTCAACGGAGAATCAATGGAGGAGAAACCCTCAACAAACCTCTTATAGTAACCAACCAAACCCAAAAAACTTCTAGTATCGGTAGGAGTTAGAGGTCTAGGCCAACTCTTGACCTCATCCATCTTCTTCGGATCTACCTCTATACCCTTGCTTGACACAATATTACCAAGAAAAGCTACAGACCGCAACCAAAATTCACATTTTCTAAACTTCACATATAATTGGCGGTCCTTAAGGACTTGCAATACAATTCTCAAATGGTCCATATGTTCACCCTCACTCCTTGAGTAAATCAAACTGTCATCAATAAACACAATCACAAACATATAAGTTAGTGCCTAAACATCCTATTCATTAGGTCCATAAATGCCACCGGGGTATTAGTTAGGCCAAATGACATCACAAGGAATTCATAGTACCCATACCTAGTTTGGAAAGCCATCTTGGGTATATCATCCCCTCTCACCTAAGTTGGTGATTGCCCGAATGAAGGTCAATTTTTGAAAATTAACTAGCCCCTTGGAGTTGATCAACCAAGTCATCGATTCTCGGAAGGGGATATTTATTCTTTATGGTAACTTTGTTCAATTGGAGGTAGTCGATGCACATTCTAAGAGACCCATCCTTCTTTCTCACAAACAACACCGGAGCACCCCAAGGAGAGATACTCGAACGAATAAAGCCCTTATCTAACAAATCCTTCAATTGCTTTTTCAACTCGGCCGGAGCCATTCTATAAGGAGGAATGGAGATATGGTACATATCCGGTAAAATATCAATACCAAAATGTATTTCCCGCTCGGGAGGAATGTCAGGCAAGTTATTGGGAAAGACTTCCAGAAATTCATTCACCATGGGGACCTACTCTAAAAAAGGGGTTTCAGACTCAGCATCCCTCACCCTAACAAGATGATAAATGCACCCTTTTGAGATTATTTTTCTAGTCTTATGACAAGAAACAAATTAACCTCTAGGGATAGAATTCCCCCATTTCCACTCTAAAATTGGCTCATTTGGAAATTGGAATTTGACAACCTGGAACCCGGGTCCTACAATCTATAGAAGCATAACATGCATGCAACCAATCCATACCTAAAATCAAATTAAAATCTAACATGTCTAACTCCACTAAATCCACCAAAGTGATTTTATGAGACAAAGAAATAGGACAACTTCTATAAACTTTCTTAGCCACTACGGACTCATCAACCGGGATAGAAATTGAAAAAGGCTCTAATAACACTTCGGGGAGTATTTCAAATTTCATTGCCACAAAAGGTGTCACAAAGGACAAAGTGGCACCGGGGTCTAACAAAGTATATGCATCAATAGAAAAGACTTGTAACATACCGGTCACCACATCCGGGGAGATCTCTTGGTCTTCTCGGGATCGAAGAGCATAAAAATGGATTTGCTTTTGAGTATTGGAGTTTGAACCGCTTGGAGGAGTTTGCTTATCTTCTTTCCCCTTTGCCGAATGTGTTGGACAATTTCTCAATTGGTGTCCACTCTTACCGAAACCATAACACACACCCAGACCGGCTAAACATTTTTCATCGTGTTTCTTACCACATTTGGCACAAGTAGGCTTGATCTTAGAATACCCATCATTATTGCCTCCTTGGGGTTTAGGGTTAGACACCCTATCCTTGTTGACCATTGGGGAAGCACTAGAGGAACCTTGGTTGGGGAACATTTGCTTGAAGTTTTGTCTACGTTGCCCATTAGACTTAGCATTGGAAAAGTTCCCATTACCGGTCCTAGCCCTCTTCACCTCCCTATTCATCTTCTTGAGCTTTTGCTTCTCAATTTGTTCAGCATGTACCATAAGATTTGAAATATTCATACTTGGGATAAGCATTGCCGAACGACATTCATTGACTATCAATTCGGACACTCCCATCACATATTTATTCATTCTAGACCTTGAGTCTACCACCATGGTTGGAGCATACTTGGATAGTTGGTAGAACTTGAGAGAATACTCCTTCACACTCATCCCCCCTTGTCAAAGGTTTATGAACTCTTGCATTTTTCGCTCCCTTAACTCTAGGGGAAAGAACCTATCAAGAAATGCTTCCTTGAACACCTCCCAATCTATGGGACCCGCTCCTCTTAGCCTCTCACCTTTCCATTATTCATACTAAATTTGAGCTACATCTTTGAGTTGGTAGGCGGGTAGCTCCACCTTCTCCTCCGAAGACACCCCTATAGCACCATGTATCTTGCAAACCTCATCTATTAACCTTTGGGGATCCTCTTCCACCTTGGAACCAAGAAACTTGGGAGGATTCATCCTAGAAATATCCCTCAACCTTGAAGCCATATAATTCACATTAGTGTTCACTCGAGGCCCAACAACCCTATTGGCTAGAGCCGTTATAGCTTGGTATTGAGTTGTCATGGCTTGAGCTTGAACCGTCATGTCCTGGGTCAATGTTATCAAAGCCGACCTAATCTCCACATCTGTCATAACAGGAGGATCATTCGGAGTTTGCTTATTTTGAGGAGCTTGATTACGTTGAGGAACTCCCTGATTCACATTTTCCTCTTCCACCCTTCTTGCGTTAGCCCTTCGTGTATTCATTTCCTGAGGACACAAGAGAAGGATTAGAAGGAAGACTTTATAGAGTTAAACTTTATGGCAAGACTTAAGAGTAATAAAAGAAGTGTAACTTCCTAAACATCTTATATCCTCTCACTCATAAATGTGGTGTGCTTCACACTATAACAAGACTCTACTAGACGTGTCTTATGAGACACCATCCTAGAATCATTGTAAACCTTTTACTCTGATTACCATGTTTGTTACGACCCAAGGATACCCCTTAGACATAATATGGCACATGGAACCCCGAAAGGCTCCACGTAAGCCACTTAGCATATCATCATCACATAAGTAAAGAATAATAAAGAATAAAAACACATTTTTAACTCTTTAAGAAAATTTTCATCAAAGTAAAGCGAAAGTCTAGACATAGTCTCATTTAGCAATCTACTACAATCGAGGTCTCAAAATAGGGTTACAACCCTTACAATAGAAATCCGAAATGAAATACAAAGAAATGAAAGAATCAAAAAAATGTCATTTGTCCTCGGATCCATGAGGACATACCACAAGCTTTGGAGAATAGTCAATCCAAGCTTGAACAAGAATGAAGGATCACCTCCAACGCCGAAACCTACACTTTGTGGAAAAAGGTAGAAGAAATATGGGTTAGTACAAAATTGCACCAAGTATGGTAGCCATGCACAAAACCATGAAAATATGCTAAAACGGGACAATTTAGTTGAAGAGCATGCACTTTATCAAGTTTGAGAATCATCATGAAAAGTAGAGTGAAAACATAATTCGTGAGCATATTCAATACATAAGTCATCACATCATAATAAGAACTCACCATGGGTACCTTCAAATTCTACTTGTGCCATGCATAAGTAAGATCCCATACTCCTACCTATGCTAAGTAGAACCCCTTAAGAAACCATAGTTAATTAATTCATCTTTTAATTACATTAGGAATAAGCTTAACCGACATAGACCATGTGAGCTTAACATGGAATCCGGTGTCATGCCCCACACCGAAAATAGGTGTCCTACTTTCTTAAGGCAGAACTAAGTGTATTAGCTTTTAAGTGGATCCAATAGCTAAATACCTATGAGGGCACATAGTTATGGGATACGGAAATTGTTACTAGAAACCCGCCATTTTTAGCAGGAGAGCTTCCATCTCATGAGATAATTTATAGAAGTTCTTCCTTTCTAGCGAGGGAGCTTACATCTCATATTCAATATCCACTCGGTGCTAAGCATTCTTCCCATAATTTACATGTTTAGTCTTGAATTGCATTAATAAGTATGAAGGAGTGTCTAAACCCTTCACCTAACACAATTCACAAAATAGCTCATAGATTCAATAGGTGAGAATGGACTTTCAACCTTAGAATCATTATATAGTGAGAAGAACTTTCACATCATGATCAGTATATGTTTATGAGGATGAACTTTCAATTAACACAATAATTAGATTATAATCATGTTCGTAAATCATGCATACATGAATCCCACAATTTGGCATAATCCCCATGTTTTACCCTTCTTGGATCATGGATCACACTCTTTCAATCAATTTAAGGTTAGTACCTTCAAGATGGATAATAATATGATCAAAAGAACTACATTACAACAATACAATTCCATACAATTGACCTTACTACAATTCACCCACATCAATGTCATAAATTAGGGTTATGGGGATTTCATGGATTCATGGGGGATTTTATCATAAAAACACCATAAACCAATAATTAAACCATAATATAAAGCAATTGAATCATTGAAAACGTTTTGAGAAAGAATCCATGACTTAGAATGAACACCCTAGGTTTTGGAGAATTGTATACTTTGAAATTGAGAGATTGTGGACTTCATGGATGAAAGGCTAACCATAAATCAAAACTACCATACCTTAGTTGAAGATTCTTCACGACTTTGAGTGGAAAATATGAGTTCTTAAGCCCTAGACCTTGACTTCTTCTTCTTCTTCTTCTTCAATGGAGGTTTTAGAGAGAAGATGTTGGAGAGGTTTGATTTTGATTTGGGTAGTTTAGATTCTTATGAAGTGTTGGTAGTTAGTTAATGACTTAAAAGTCTTATATATGTCTATTAAAAACTATTTAAAACGACCCTACATTAAATTAACTAAATTAGTAATTTACTTAATGACCCTTGCATTGGCCGAAACTAGGTAGTCTACAGGTGAGACACACAACTTGGTGACCCATGGACCATGGGTGGGACCACATCCCGTGCTGGTGAACCGTTGGTTAAGGGTATGCAGCCTGTTTTGAGGCGCTTGACCCACGAACCCCACCTACGGGGCATGGGTGGACCTGCGGGGCGCAGGTAGCCCTCGTGGGTCACTGCCCAGGCAGCCTTCTACGCCTTTTCCTCAAGGGCCTATGGTTGGTCCTTGGAGTTTAGGCCTTGGCATTTTGAATCCAAAACAAGAATTTTTAAGGTACGGGGAGGTATTTTCTAGACCTTAACCCTAACGTCAAACTTTAGCTAAGTCTATTAGTTTTGCTTAGACTCTTGTTTATTTTAAAATTTTCTGGACTGTTGCATTACCCATTCCTTTGAAACTATATGCCCCAAAAAGGCAACCAAAGTTAACCAAAATTCACACTTAGAAAATTTCGCATACAACTTTTGTTTCCCAAGAACACCTAGAACAATACGAAGATGGTCGGCATGATCTTCCTTGCTTCTCGAATAAACCAAAATGTCATCAATAAACACTATCACAAACGAATCAAGAAAGGGTCACCGGTAGTCCCTATGGATCCCCTTTTTCACCTTCTTTTGATTAGACATGCTTCCATCTCTAGGAGTAAGAAGTGAAAGATGGGTCGGGCTAGTAGCAGTCAAGCAGCTACTGAGGCAGGCCACGAAGGAAGGGGAGATGATGAGGCCGACGGTGCTCTCCCTACCCAGTCCCGGCCTCCGCTTTCTAGTTCTAGTATGGAGGAGGACCTAGAGGTCGTTCGAAGAAAATTTGGAGTCTCCCGGGCTAGTACCTTGACTTCAGTTCCACCCTGTACCGCCCTTGAATTGGAGATGCTTCGCCGCTAGCTGTAATGGGAAAGAAAGAAGAACATAGAGAGAGATCGTCTGGTGGGCCGGATGTGGAAGACTCCTAAGGTCATTTTCTCTTGCGTCGCTCCCTAGCAGGAGCTTCCCACGCTCCAGCCTGAGGACTTCATGGATTTTCCCTTGTTAAGTGACGCTTGGGATGACGTGACAGCCCAGAGGACATGGGGTCCGACAACGGTACTTCCCATTCAGAGGGTTACTGATATGGTTTTATTTTGTCCCTCTTGGAAATGTAATGGACAATATTTCATTTCCCTTTTTGTTTTTCCTTATACTTTTTGTACACACATGGATGCTGGTTTTTGCTGTCTTTCATAGTCGATATTTAAATGCTAAGGTTTCTGACTTACTATTATATTGTTGAGTAATGGTTAAATTGCAGGGATTAGTTCGTATACGTTTCGGGGTCTATTTATGTGACTAGGGAAAACATGGGAGACAGGGCTGAGATTTTGTCTCGCCCTGTCCCGCTCTGGCGGGAGAAATCCCACTCTGGCGGTCATGCCTTGGTCGGAAATATCCCGCCCCAGCGGCCCTTACGAAAATAGAACCCCTGCCAACAACTCTTCTGGGGTTCTTCTCTTTTCTAAATTTCCCACAGATTCCTAGGATATACTAACCATTTTAGGGTAACCCGCTTAGTTAGGATGGTCAATGTCTACCCCGAGTCAACCCAATGATACGCACTCCAAAATTTATTATCATAAATTCAACACCACAACCACGCACATCCCTAGGATATGCCTATACACTCACACGGTTATAATCAGTCGCAACACCCAGTAAGATTTCGATTATTTAGTCTAGCATACTGCTATATCGAGGTTCAGACAAGCACTTATTGTGCACATAATCATATCATTGCATTCAGGAAAAACATGTTCTTCATACCAACAGTTAATTTCGACTATAAGAAGTAAACATTCACGGTTTCAAGTTACAACTCACAGACAAGTACAAATTATTAGTTAGTTCGCATCAATAGATAACCATTACTGATCATCCACGCCTTTGTACAACCTCTAAGGCCAAATACCAATTGGAACTTTCTTACTTCCAATTTACTTTGCTTGGGTCCCGTCAGCCGTGACTATGGTGTTCGGTTTCCTTTGTTGAGATACCAACTGGAATCGGGAGATACCAATTGGACTCAACTCATACCACAAGCAACA